TTCAAAGACTTAGGATTAATTCCTGAAGTATTGAAGGTAGTAGAGTATTTAGGATATAAGAAACCAACAAGAATACAAGAAAATTCTATTCCAGTTGCATTACAAAAGAAAGACATCATTGGAATTGCACAAACAGGAAGTGGAAAAACAGCGTCATTTCTACTTCCAATGGTTCAACATTTATTAAATGTTAAAGAAAAGAATAGAGGATTTTATTGTATTATTATTGAACCAACAAGAGAATTAGCAGCACAAGTAGTTGAAGTAATAGATGAAATGGGAAAGGCACTTCCTGGATTAACGTCATGTTTATTAGTAGGAGGGATGGATGTAATGAAGCAAAGTGTTCAACTTGCGAAACGACCACAAGTAATTGTTGGAACGCCAGGAAGAATAGTTTATCATATAAAAAATACGAAAGGAGTTGAAGAATCAATTGAAAAGGTTAAATTTTTAGTGATTGATGAAGCAGATAAATTACTTGAGATGGATTTTGCAAATGAAATTGATTATTTAATTGAAAAATTACCAAAACAACGAACAACAATGTTGTTTTCAGCAACTATGTCAACGAAAGTAGAAAAATTACAACGAGCATCATTAACACATCCAGTTAAAATTAAAGAAGAAGAACAAAAATATCAAACAGTTGATACATTACGACAAGAATATTGTTTTATTCCATTTAAATATAGAGATGGATATTTGATAAGTATATTAAAAGAAACCGAAGGGAAAACAATTATTATATTTACTATGAAATGTTCAGGATGTACAAAATTAGTAATGATGTTAAGACAAATGGGATATGCAGCAATTCCATTACATGGTAAAATGAGTCAACAAAAACGATTAATTGCATTAGAAAAATTTAAAAGTGGGAAAAGAGGGATTTTAGTTGCTACTGATGTTGCATCAAGAGGACTTGATATTCCAAATGTTGATATTGTTATTAATTATGATTGTCCACTTGAACCAAAAGATTATGTTCATCGAGTTGGAAGAACTGCAAGAGCAGGAAAGAGTGGATATGCAATTACACTTGTAACACAATATTCAATTGAATTATATCAACGAATTGAAACAATGATTGAGAAGAAATTAAATGAATATAAAGTAAATGAAAAAGAAGCAATTGCATATTCACAAAAGGCAAATGAAGCAATGAGAGTTGTTAGTCAACAACTCAAAGAAGAAGCACAAAAGAAAAAAGAAAAACTACAAAAAGGACAAAAAAAATTACATGAAGAAGAAGATGAAGAAGAATAAATGAGTTAATTGATTGATTATTATTTTAAATTAATTTTATTCTTGTGAAGAAAAGATACTAATTTCAAAACATAAAAACCCATTGTTAATTGGATGAATAAATTGTAATGATGGGAATTTTCGATTTAATTGTATTAAATATTCTTGTAATTCAATCATTTTTCTATGATATTGGTTTTTAAAACAACAATTTGTTAATCCACAACTTAGACATGAACAACTTTCTTCAATAATTGTTTTCCATGTAATATTTTCTGCTTCAATAAAATATTGATTTACTTGTGTTATTATTGTTTCAAATTCATTCTTTTCAATTATTCCTATCAATTGGGGTGGTAATCTTGTAAAGAATCGTGGTGTAAGTCCTTTTGAATAATCTCTATCAATACTCACAATTTGGTATTGTGGTGTTTGCATTTATTATTTTCTTTTTATTCTTTTTATAATTCATTAGTTAAATTGTATTTCTTATTTATGTTAAATATGATTCTTAAAAAGAAACTAAATTAAATAGAAACAACAATAATTGTTCCAATATCATCTGATGCTACTACTTTCATATCTTTGTCTCTCTCAATACCACTAATTGATATAACTTTAGATGGACAACAATTCCTTATTTTTCCATTGGCGCTTTTATTAAAATGAATTGTCTTTGTGTTAAGTGAGATTATATCAATAGACCCATCTTCAAATCCAAGAATTATTTTATCATTAATTCCTTTCATTGCAGTAATTGGTTTACTGACAAATTGACCATAATCTCTTTCATATGTTTTTGTGTTAATGCTATACATTTGACCAGATGGTGTTCCAACAATTATATTTTCTTTAACATAACATAATCCAGTAATCTTTTCTTTACAAACTTCAATTAAATGTGTTTTGAAGTTGTCTTTTTCTCCACTGACAATAAACACTTTCCCTTCTCTTCCACCTACAGCAAAAATTCCTTCTTCAAATACTAAACATTGAATTTCATCTTCTTCACCAAATGGTAAAAAGGAATCAACTACTTTGTATGTCTCTCCACTTTTTTCCCATAAATATAAAGTCTTAGCTGGTACTGGTTGGCTAGTAAATTTACTTGGTTTAAGATATAATCCACCAGTAACAATATATTGTTCATCTTTACTTACAGCAATATGTGTTACTTCACTTTGTTGGTCAAGTAATTTATTTGTTTCAGGCCAAAGTGTATGATAATGTAGTTCTTCTTCAGGAGGTGCAGTCATATAGACTTTAGGAACACTAGCAACAGTAATGTCATCTTCTACAGGTAGTTCGTCACTATCAGGAATGACTAATGTTTTTATGTCATATTGTAGTTTTGTAGGTGATTGAACTTGAGACTGTCTACTACTTCCAGTATGTTCTCTTAGTGGACAATTTGTTAATGAAAGTGGTTGGTGATTGGCTCCAATTGGTGATTTCTCATAATAAATCATATCTTTTTCAGAAAGGTTTGATCTTGTGATATATCTTAATGACTCAATAAAATACTTTGATGCCTCCAATATTCTGACTGGCTTTTCTTCAATACTACTAGTCAAAACACGAATAGGATTATTAATTAATACAGCTTGTGATAAAGGATATCCATGTACTAATGGTCTTGCAATTTCTACCCAACGTTCTTGTGTTTTGTTGTCTGGATTAACATTCTTAACAAAAAGTCTTATAGTATAGTCAAGTGAAGAAGATATAATGGCAAGATTAGATGGTATTGTTGGTAATGGATAAAGTTCAACAGAAGAAACTGCTTGAGAATGTCCAGTTGGAAGAACAATTTGAGTTGGAATAGTATAAGAACTATCTAATTTCCATCCATGAAGATGACACATATTAGTTAATGCAATAAGAATTCTATTTCTTTCATTAAAAGAAAAACGAATATACCTTTCATCTCCAACTCCACCAAGTCGTACTGTTGATAACCATAAATCACTTAATTGGAAAAATTGAATCGAACAATCAATTGAAGAAGCAATAAATGTAGTATTTCCATGGCATGATATACCACTAATTCTTAAATCACTAACAGAAACAACAGATTCAACTTCTAATGATGGGTATTGATGAACATAAACTTTGCCTGAATCAGTTCCTACAAATACTCGTGTTAAGTCATCACTTTGACATAATGCAGTTACCCATGTTTTATTTCCTGGAATTCTTTTTTCATTTGTTCCTTGTTTAATAACTAAAGTACCAGCAGCATCAGTAAGAGCATAAGCAATTGAAGGAAATTCATTTTTTTGATTACCAAAAAGAGTTGCTGTTTCAATAAGAATCTTACTTGAGATATCTTCAATGATTTTACCTTCAAGAGTAATTAATAACACTCTTAGTGGTGATGATATAAGTAAATAATTTTCATAATTCTTTATGTTAATGATAGGATATTCTCCTATAGAAATAATTCTTGTTTTTTTATCTTGTTCTAAGTCATATAATTCAACTATTCCTCTTTCTGTTCCAACTGCAATGGTTGTATCATTAATAACTTCTATTGAACGTACTGTTTGTTTAAAATCAATAATACTTGTAATAGAACTACTTTCAACATTAACAACACCAACAACATGTGCATTTCCAAAGAAATATTTCTTACCATCTTTACTAAATTTCAAGTTACATTGAATGTTTGGTCCCAATGATAGAAATTCTGTCATTGACAATAAGTGATTGTAAATTAAATTATTAAGTTAGTGGGGATAATTCATTAATTTGTCCAAAGGGTTGAAAATGGGTTGACCCAATAATGCTAATAACAAAAAACAAATAACATTCTATGTTTTGTTTTGAAGAATAAAAAAACACTAATTAGTAACACAATATTTATAAGACATTAAGTACTATTTTGTTTTTCTTGTTTAAGGAGTTATTAAGAAGAAGGATTTAAGAAAGAATAAAAATGATATAAACATGTAAATTTCTTTTCATGAAATAGTAAATCTAATTCTATTCATATTACACTTTAGTACAAATAAATTCTTTTATTATTTCAGGATTTTAGTTAAATTAAAATGGAAAGAACTTCATTAGAACAGTGAGAAATGTTCTTCCTATTTATCACATTCTTGTTTGTAGAAAATATAACAGGGGAAGTGATTAGCGATTTCAACTCTATTCAACACCAACCAAGAAAGTTCAATGGAAAAATATTTGTTGTTATAGAAAATGATAGAGAAATAGAAATTGCTAATGAACATAATGACAGAATTGATCAAATAATAATAAAAGGATTTAGTATAGATTCAATTCAAACAGGAATTCCAAAAGTTCAAGGGGTATGGAATTATTCAATAAATTCAAAAGAACGAATTGCTCATATCAAATTTGATAATTTTGTGAATATTATAAATCTGTCATTTGAAATTGCAAATTCAATTGTAGAGTTTGTAAGAAAATATAACTTAGATGGAATTTGTCTTGAAGATCTTGAAAATTTGTTTTATATTACAGGAAGATCAACACGTGATGTGCGTTTAGTTCTTAGAAGAATTGGAATAGAATTACATAAAATTAACAAGAAAGTATATGTCATTATTCCTGTTTGTTTATTGTTTATTATTTTATTACATGTTATTAAGTAATTATAGCCAAGAAGTGTTGCCATAAGTGGTACAATAATTAATTCTTTAAAAAAGTATATTGATGAATTCATTATAGACACAACAGACTATTACAGTAAAAGTCTTCATTCATCTCATTGTTCATCTCCATTGATGTACATTGAAAATCTTATCAAAGATTATACTTCTAAGAATGAAAACCTTAAAAGTATGACATCTATTTCTATTGACTTATCTGGATATAAGTTCTGTCTAAACCAACCTCGTTCTTCAATTAATGTTACATCCTTCCAAACTATGCTTCATAATACTACTAATTCAACTTGGATAGAAGAATGTCAAGAACATAGTTTTACAGATTCAAATAATTGTGAAATTATGTTTCCTACTATTGAATATATTGAGAAAAGAATAAACTTAGCAATTCAAGAAGGTATAGATATTACTTTATGTCATATAGAAGCAGCACATCCTAATGTCTTTGAACTTTTTTAATGAAATCTTTAATTGGTTCTTTTCATATGAACAGTTGTCAATTTTCAAAAAAGATATAAAAACCATAATCAAATTAAAAGGTTTCTGTCTTAATTAAAGGATCATTCTAATCAGTTGATCTTTTTCCAAACAACAGAATTACACTTTAATCCTGAACCAAAACCAATTTGCCAAACTTTATCTCCTTTTTGTAAGGTATGAATTCTTTCAATAAATTTAAATTCATACCAAACAGATGAAGAAGAAGTATTTCCAAATCGGTATAAAGCAGCTCTTGAAGGCATACAATCTTCATCAGTAAGATTTAAGTTTTCTTGAAGTCCATCAATAATAGCTCTTCCACCAGCATGGATACAAAATCCTTGGAAAGTCTCTCTGAAATTAGGTTTAAAGATATCTTCTTTCTTTTTCATATTTAATTTATGTTGAACCATATCAATAAGATATAAAAAGACATCTTTCCAACTCATTACTACTGGCATTAATTGATTTAAATTTTGGACTAATGCTCTTGTAACACATTTTAATAAATCTCTTCCAATTTTTACTCCTACTATTCCGTCATCATCTTCAGATTGGAAAATACAATTATAAGAATCATCATATTTTTGATGGTTAATTCTAACAGTAGTAACTAATTTATATGGTGCAATAGATGAATACTTTGACTTATTAGACAATAAAATAGCGGCTCCACCCATTCTAAATAAAGTATCAGATAACAATCTTCCTTTTTCTTGTCCAGGATACCATCCTCTAGTAATACATTCAGTGGAGTAAACTAAAATATTAATATTTTTATTACGTCTTAATAAGTCTCTTGCTAAGTCAATAGAGATTAATCCTGCTGAACACCCCATTCCACCTAATGAATAATTTTTACATGTTTCTTTCATTTTATAAATATTCATAATCATTGCAGATAATGATGGAGTTGGAGCAAACATAGAACAATTAGTAATTACAAAGTCAATATCTTTTTGGGGGTCAATCTTTAATTTCTTAAATAATTCATCACAAGCAATTTTAATACTTATCTCCATCTCATATCTTGAAGATTTATACGTATCATCAGGTGGAACGGTATGGAATGCTGGTGGTAAATATGTATGGTCACCTAACCCTGTTCTATGAATTAAACGTGCGAGAAAATCTAATGAAGTTGGATTAAAACGTTTAATATCTTCAGTAAATTTTTGAAATTGGTCATTTGTTGTTGCAAGTTCTTCTGGTGGTTTAGCAGTACAAAATCCAACCAGATAGACTGATGGTTCTTTTTTTGCAATGAAATAAACCATTATAATAAAAAGAATTGAAAATATAGAAGCAGAGATACATAAGGCTTTTGCATTTTGTTGAGAGAAAATGGGGAAAGAAAGGTCATATAATCCATATAATTGTTTAGAACCAACAAAAACAATTGAAGCAACAAATATCACTCCTAAGAGTTTTACAATGAAGTCAATAATTTTTGTATTAATATTAGGTCTTTTTACATTAGCCTTTAAATAAGGTAATATTTCATTTTCTTCATTATCAAACATTGGATACCAATAAGGTTTTAATGAACGCTCAGCCTTATCAGAAGTACTCATTTCAAATGAATTATGAGATGAAATTACTCTGATAGTTTAAATATTAAAGAAAGTCAATTTGGTTCTTCCACCTTTATTTTTTCTGGTGAAAAGTTTTCAGGGTTTCAATGAGAGAAAGAATCGATGATGGAATAACAATTTTTGTTAATAGTGAATTTTAATATTGAATAGCTCACTTCTTTTTCAGTTTAAATAATAAAAACAGATATCAGTATAGTTTTAAAGGATGATACATTCATGTCTCAAAGCAATTAATTTTTATACTTTTAAGTAATATTTATAATGAGTTATTTTATACAAATCATTTTAAAAAGAAAGATTATTTTGTGAGTTATGAATATAAAAATAGATTTGCTTTTTCAAACCAAAAAAATTCATTAATTCTACTTATCATAATATCCGCTTTCAATCTTATTGAGATTTTTTAAAGATTTTTCTTTTCTTTGGGGTAATTAGTTTTGATTTATTTTAAATTTAGAAAATTTGTGATAATTTTGAAGGTTATATTTATTCATTTAATAAACTATTATTTTTTAAAATGTAATTTCTTTGATACAATTCCATCTTTCTTCCTATTTTCTAAATCTTTTGGTTTTTCTTTCTTTGGTTTTTTTTCAAGTTTTTCTTTTTCGTTTAATTTTGAAAAATCTTTCATTTCATTAGATGAAGGAAGTGTTTGAATAACACTTTTCTTTAAATTGTTTTCTTTTTCTTTATTTAAAAATGAATTTAAAAATGAAGTAGAGTATAATCCCTTTTGGTCTTCTTTTTTTGTGTGTTGTTTATTAATTAGTCTTTCTTGTTCTTTATCAATATATTTTTGAAACCAAGATTGATGACATTTAGTTGTTCCTCCTAGATAATGAGACTCATTTTGATTTCCTCTTAATGTATCCCAGTCAAAGTCTTTTGTATGTCGTGCAGACATAAATTACTTTGATTGAATATTTTAAGTTCTTCTTTTAACAAGAAGATTTTATTTTTTGTTTTATATTGCAAAAAAATATCTATATGAATTATTATCAAAAATAAAAAGAAAAAAATATTAAAAAAAAAAACGAAAAATAAGAGTTTTAATTAAATTTAGACATTGAGAAAAAAGAAATGACAAATTAAGAAAATAGCAAAAAAACGATGGAATAAAAAAAAGAAATGGTTTATTTAGGTGAACTTTAAAATAAGAAATTAAATCACAAATGAACTTAGAAGACTTTGAAGTAATAGATAAAGACGGAAATTTTACCGAAGTAGATTTTAAGATTGAACATCCTGTTAAAGAGAATGAAGAGCCACTTGACCAACGAAGAAGAATTATAAATGAGATATATGATACTGAAGAGTCATATGTACAAGGATTAAAATTATGTATTAAATATTACTATGAACCATTAAATGAAAATAAAGGCATTATTCCAAAAAATAAATTGGATGTTATTTTCCTTCATTTTCCAGACGTTCAATCTATGAACTCTTCTTTTTTTGAACAATTAAAAGAGCAAAAAGAAAAAGGAAAATTATATGATTGTATTGGTTCAATATTTGTTGAATTTGCTCATTTTTTTAAAGTTTATAAATTAATTGTTGGAAATTCTGAAGCTGTATTAGCAGTTTTAAAAGATGTATGTAGTTCTCCTCATGTAAGTAGATATTTAGAACAACAAAGACTTCGTATTAATGCTAAAGTTCAATTAGATCTTCGTTCATATTTAATTACACCAGTACAAAGATTACCTCGATATAATCTTTTATTAAATGAATTATTAAAACATACACCAACAGATCATCCTGATTATAACAATATAGTTAGTGCATTAGCTTTTTTAAAAGAATGTACTCAATATGCTAATGATAGTGTTAGAGAAAGAGAAAGAAGAGATAAGTTAATAACAATTGCTAAAACATGTGAAGGTGCAACAGCAGAATCAATTGTAAAACCTGGAAGATCATTTGTTAAATCGGGAGAAGTATTAGAAATAGGAAAGAAAATTAATAAACCAAGATTTATTTATTTATTTAATGATATGTTAATGTATGGTATTGGAGATGAAAGAAAATTAAGTGTTATTGGAATGTATAATATTGAAAGTATTATGATTAAAGATATTAAAGACTCTCCTAATTCTCTTCATTGCTTTAGAATTCTTAGTTTAAGTTCATCTGAAGTTGATATTACTTTTCAATGCGAAACTGAAGAAGAAAAAAAAGCATGGTTTGATAATATAAGTAATGCAGCTCAAGACGAAAGAAGCAGATTATTAACATTAAGAAATGAAATTACAGTTAATTCAACTACTGTATGGATTCCTGATGAAGAGGCAAATGAATGTATGAGATGTGGAACTCCATTTACTTTGTTTTTCCGTAAACATCATTGTAGGAATTGTGGATATATTATTTGTGCCAATTGTAGAACTCGTTGTAAAGTACCAAAATTAGGAAGGGTAGATTATGTATGTCTTAAGTGTTATGATGAACTTCAAGTAGAAACTAAAAGAAGAAACTCTCTCACTACAAGTCAACCTCAACAAATTGTTAAAGATACTACTTCTTCTCCTGCTTTACCAGAACAATCAAAACAGTTTAATAATCCTATTCATTCAACTAATAATACTCTCAGTCAAGAACAAACTCCTTCTACTATAAAATCATCTTCTAATGATACACAAATAAATAAACAAGCCTCTTATTTATCACCTTTACCAACACGTCCTTCTCATCAAAAAACAGAAAGTTGTCAAGTCCAATTTAATTTACCTTCTAAACAATTTGATTTATCTTCTCAATCATTAAAAAAAGTTCAACAATCACAACAACTATCTTCATCAGAGCTTCCTCCTCATTCTTCTACAACGAAACAAAAATCGTTAAGACAAGAAACTTCTATAACAACATCTGAATCATTTGATAATTCAACTGATAAAAAAGAAATTCAACCAATTAAAAAAGAAAACAATAATACTACTATTCCTCAACAACCAATTAAAAGGGCTCAACCTTCTCTTCCTCAAAGACAACCATCAAACTCTAATATTCAAAGAACAAAACTATTACCTCCTTCTCGTGGAAATACAACCAATCCTTCTTCAACAATAACAAATTCAAAACCTTTGGTCCCAAGTAGAGCTGCCCCAAAAGTTAATACACAAACAACAACACCAAATGTTGATGTAACACAACACGAAAACAACTCATTTAAAGAAAGGCTTGCTATGTTCCAACAACAAAGTTCTCAAACAGAAAAACCAGCATTACCAATTAGACGTAAAGTAAATCCACCAATTAATTAATTTAATAAATTTTACATAAAAGTTTTTGTTTACATTTTTATTAGTTTCACTTTTTTAATTAAACAAAACAAATTGAATTTGTCTAAAAGAAGACATTTTGAAAACTATTTTAATATTTTCGCATTAACATTAAAAATAAGTTTTTAAAAATACTTCTTTTTTTTTTAAAGAATTAAAATTTAATACTTACTCAAAATAAGTGGTTGGAGATTAATTGGTTAGCAAATCTTGCTATTATTATTATTATTTTCTAGCGTATTAAATAAAAAATATAATATTTCTAGTTATATAATAAGAAAATCAATTCATATTTCTGTTGTTTTTGTTATTTTTTCTATTTCTCACGACGATATTTTTTGGGGAGTTTCTTGTGGTACATTATTTGTTTTTATCTTTGGACGTAGTAAAACCAAACAAATTTAAGTGACTTTTTTTTAACTACTTCTGTTTGACATTCAATAATGTATTTGAATGAAAAAAAAGACTAATAATTTATTGTATTTCAATAACAACACTTATTTTAGTTTTTTTTGAAGATCATATCAATTGACAATTGTTGAATTAATGACATCAATAACGAGTAAAAATTTTGATGAAATTAATGGAACAAAACATGGAACAAAACTAATAACAAGTTTATAGAGGGAATTTAAATTTCTTAAAGGTTGTCTAAGAGTTATTTTTAGAGGAATGATTGGAAGTATTATTACATGAAGCAAAGCTTTTAATAGTTATTATAATTTAATTATTATTTATTGGAAGAATATTAAATTCTATTGTACAATTTTATTCACTACCACAAATTGATAATATACTCTATTTCCAATATTACATACTGGATATTTCTTAATTTAAAATTAAAAATTATTCAATTTATGATTTAATTTTGTTATAATAAGATGAAACGATTGATTTACATTCCCATTGATTGATCACCTTGATATGCCCCTGAAATATAACTTCCACCAAAGTTTTCTTGATATATGTCTTGGGTGAATTGTTGTTGAGGAACTTGTTGTATTGGAGTAGTTTCAGGTTGAACAGTATTTGATACAGTAAGATGTTTTTGAATAAGTTCATTAAAACGAGCTATTTGACCTATATATTAAATATAAATAGATTAAAAATTAAAAATAAATCAAACCTTTTATTGTTAGACGGATTTCATAAGCTTTAAAATAATTTGGATTTTGTTCTTTTAATTTAGTTAATATATAAATTGTCATTTCAGTTGGAATACTTTTCTTTTCTAATTCTCTAATAATTTCATCATCTGTATAATAAAATTGTAAATATTGTTCAATCAATCCTTGTAATGTAGGTATATCAATAAAATTATTTTGTGGTTGTTGTACTTGTGGTTGAATATATTCTGATTGATATCCTACTCTTGGCTGATACATTGGTTGTCCTTGATATTGAACAGGAATTTGTTGATTAGGGAATGTTTGATATTGAGGTTGTTGATATCTTTGTTGTTGATGACTTCTATCGATTGGTTGTTGGGGAGTACTAATAGAGTTAGAAATAACAGATCCATTAGTATTAGGATTCATTCTACTCACTTATCAATTTTTTAGTTTCTTTTTTCTATTCTTTTTTCTTTTTATTGTTGTTATTTTGTTAACTTTTTTGTATTATTTCTAATTTTTTACCATTCTTCTTTAGTTCTTCTTCGTTCTTGAAATAGTTTTTATTTTTTCTCTTTTCTTTCTTAATTCTCTTTTCAAACGTAATACTTTTATTTATTCTTCTTTTTTCGTTTTCATACTACTAAAATTAACTTGTAATATAAAACAATTTTTATTATAAAATCTCTTTTCTTTTTTTTTTATTTCTTTTATTGTTATTTTCTCATTAGATAGATTCGGACAAATCAAGAAAATCATCACTTGAACACTTGTCCACATTTTTAATTTCTTCAAACTGTATAAGAAATGAAACTGGATCATTATCTTTACTAATACATTTTTCTCCATTTATCTGAATAAAATTATTAATAGCAATAATACCATAGATAGCACTTAATTGTTTTTGGTTGAGAATAATTATTGTCCCTAGTGGAAGTGACTCATCACTACTATGAAATTTGATTCCTTTCTGTAATTGACTATATAACATATTGTTTAATCCACTTGGATTACAAATAATTCTTAATTTTTTATTTTCTTCGTTTTGGTTAATTTCCATTACATTTTGATATACAACAACATACTCTGGTTCTATAACATATTTACATAGTGCTTCTTTGATTTCTTGTTCTCTTTCATTACATACAACAATTAGACATTTATTATTGTTAATAGTACTAATAACTTCTTCTTTAAATTTTTGTACTTCATCTTCATTAATGTTCCATTTAATTATGTCATCACTTTTCTTAACTCTTTTTCTTTTTTCAGTTACTTCTTCATCATTAATTACTTTTTTAAGTTTTATTGTTTTCGTTTTCTTTGTCTCTTTCTTTTTCCTTTTCTTTTCACAAACAATCTTTTCTTCTTCAACCTTTCTTAGTTCTTCAATAACTTCCTGTTCTATTAATTTTATTCTTTCTTTTCGTTCCCTTTCTTTCACTAATAATGGATTCTCCACTTCAGATAATAAACTCTTTCGTTTAATTGGACTGATTACTGATTTATATTCAATACCACTATTTATTACACTGAACTGAGTCTCTTCTGTCTTTTGTTCAATTTCACTTAAAATGATATTATCATCTATTTTTCCTTTTTCTTCAATTATTGTAGGTGATAAATTTTCTTCAAGAGTTTCTGTTATTAATTCACTTTGATCATCTTTTGTTTGTGTTAATTCATTAGCTTTTATTTCAGTAATGCTTTGTTCAGTAACAAATTTTTCCTTATCTATTTGTTTTTCTTTTTCTTCAATTTGAGCGATTTGTTCTTCTTTCTTTAAAGATTTCTTAGACCTTACTTTGTTTTGTTTTTCTTTGATTGTTTGTTCAATTTGCACCAACTTAGATTGTTTAAGAGTTGTATTAATCTCATATCTAATATTATTTTCAATCACAAATTGGATATACTTTTTTGCCATTTGATTAAAGGAGATTTTCTTGTTTTCTGTAAGGTCTATGATTTCAAGTATTTGATTACCTATTTGAACATATTTCCTTATAGACAAACTATAAGCCTTCTTCATTGTGAAAATAGTTTGAAATCCAAAATATTTATCTTGAAATTCAATCATCCAAAACCATTCAGTAAATGGATATCCTTTAAATTGTGTTATATAATATTCTTTTAATCCATTAATTCCAGTTTCAATATTGTTTCCAAATAACTTTATTTCTCCTTCTATTCGGAACGCATAAAAAGAACGTTTCATGATAGGAAAGTATGATTTTAAGTTATTTTGCATTTTGTACTTTGAATAATAAATAAAGTTCTTACTTTGAACTAAGAATTTTTTAATTTCAATATAATAAATCAATTATGCTTGGTATTTATGTTCATTCAAGAAGTTTTGAACATCTCCTGTTACTGAACGAATGAGATAATCTGCATAAAAATAAATCCCAACAACAATTGTATTTAGTCCAAATAACCATAACCCAGCTAACACTGTCGTGAATAATATCATTGATACAGTTAATCCAGCACAAATCAATAACATCGATTTATATGAAATATATTCCAAAATGAAATAAAATTTAGGAAATATACAAATGCACCATAAGAATAATAACGATGAAATAAACTCTAAAAGAAATACAATATATCCATTTTTAATAGAAGATAAAATGTAATGTATATCATTTAAACAAAACTCTTCGCCACCAAATCCATTAACAAACAACGTTCTTAAAGAAATGATAAATTTTAGTATAAATAATATCAATGCAAACACTAGAGCTACTCTTCGGAAAATGTCTGACGTTTTTTGGTCTTTTTCTTCTATTTTCTCAATCTCCTGAATTTCCCCTAATCATTAAAAATTTCATTAACTTCATCTCAATCAATTAAAACAAACGATAATTATTTTCTATAATTTGTCGTTGACGTAATTCTTTGTATGACATTAAAAAAATAGTTTAAGTTCTACTTTTCTTAAGAAAGAAACTCCAGAAAAACATTTAAAAAGAATTAGATTTGTTTATTTTTTTTAAGAGGGTTGAGGTGAAAAGAAACTTTACAAAGGGGACAAAATGAATGGCAACGAATCCACTCATCAATACAGATACAGTGAAAATAATGTTTACATGGGAGAAGTTTCATTGACTCATTTTCACTAAAAGGTTCCATACAAATTGGACATTCATTGTAATGATATTTTGTGGTTGAGTTATGTTTAATTACAGGAAAATTAAAGTGATAATTTATTTCATCCTCACTGAATGATAACTCTTCAAATAAGTCAATAAAATGTTGAGAGGATGTTGTTACTTGAATACAGTCCCAGAGGTCAATCAATGCAATAACAGACATTGAGAGTTTTAAATAAGTCATCCCATCAATATCAATGGATAATAATAATATCATAGTTGATAAATAAAAATGGGATATTCTTTCCATTGAGGTTAAAAGAACACATGTTTGTAATGATGGAAGACATAAAATAATAGTAAGTATTACAATTAGTCCTTTGCATAAAGACCAAAAATATATGAGATATATTTTAGATGAAAAGACTGATGGTGTTTCAAGAAAAATTTCAGAGATGATAATAAACATTTCAAGAACTTTGATTGTGACGTTTGTGATAATGTCAATTGTTGAATCTATTATATCTATCTGATATAACATTAAATGCACTTCCTCCTGAGAAGAGTTTA